TTTTTTTTTTTTTTTTTTGATTAAAAACATTATTATCGCCCTTGGTACATGTACAGTGATTTCTCAAAATCGTCCCGGGAATATGATAGTTATTGAACATGCCCACTACGCGCACACATACCCACTACTTACGGGCTAAAAAATACATTCTCATTGCTGTCGTGGGTACATCGGTGGGGGGCACGTTTCACGTGGGTCACGTGAGTTCTATAATTGTACCCATCGGCTAACTCCACGAGCCTTACAACAATGATACGACGACCATGCTGTCAGAGACTGATTGCTCTAATAAACGACGTCCGACGAACGCAATATTATCAATAGTTAACGATATATATTATATAATATTGTATAAAAATTATAGAGCATGAAACCCGTTTACAATCGGTTTTCGCCTTCGGTCTCTGACGAGATAATATCTTTCGGCGCGTGGGTTCCGGGCACGGCAATAAAAATCTGCTGCGAGCGGAAACGCGATAGCGGATTTTCCGGCGTTTTCGTAGATAAATTACTATAACCATCACGGCGGGGTGAACCAATTACCACGGTTTTAGGCGGAAAGGCGGCTTTATTTTTTTACACCGACACTGTGCCCGTTTCGCGGGGGGCTGAACACCTTTAGAAGTCACGTACGACTTACATAACTCGGACAAGCGACTGTGAGATTTTCAACAGTAACGATCGGTTTACTGTTAGCGAAGGGTGCCGGAGTTTTTCAAAAGTAAATAGCATAAAAGCCACGTGATATCCATAGGAACGCATTGAATAATTGAAAATGCAAAGTCATCTTAGATGAAATTCGAGAAGGAGTGGGTTTGAAAATTAACACGAAAATGTGTGAAAAAATTATATCTCGATTTTTTTACTCTACTGCGAATTTATTGACCGCAGCCGTAACAGCAATTTTTTCGTGGTCGTGCCCCCAAATGGATTATATTCAAATAACTTACACTTGAAATACTCGAGGAAATAAATTTGCCCAGTTTGAAGGTTTGGGTAGGTATCACACACTCTTTAATGACGTCCAACTTCAATCATATAAAAATATGTATGTATTAAAGTTTTAAAAGAATAACAAAATATTTTTATTTATTATCGTTCGGTTTTCGACATTAATCATTAAAGTTAAAGTCGATAAATCCAACTAAAAGTTATTTTGTTCGACAACAACGTTTTTTTATAATATTAAAATACCAAATTTGTTATAATAATTAAATTTTACTACACGCCGCTAGTTTCATAAATCGATTATATAATTACTGAATTTAACCGTAAATTAAGTCAATAAAATTAGTTTATAATTCCATCAATGTTGTCGTAGAAATAAAGTAAATCAAGAATTTGTCATTTTTTTAGCTTGTTACATACCCTAAATGTATTAATACTTATACATATAAGTAAACTTATTACTCATTATCTTTTCTTGTACATTTATTATAAGACCATCACGTAAAACTAAAATATAGAGTTTATTTTTAAGACTACTTGGTTTGCCTTCAGAAAATTATCTCGGAATATGATATATTTATTTAATTAGCTGAACGCATTGTAATATTAGTGCATTACTTTAATACTATGAAAAGTAATTGATTGCGTTAAAAAACATAGTCTGATAATGAACGGAAATATGAACCTAATCATTTTATTCCTCAGAATAAATATTTTTTGTGTGTAACGTGATTATTTTCATGGCATGTATGTGGTTTCGTTTTAAATGTAAAACCTTTAAATTCATCGTTGAATCAAATAAAAATCCCGACCAAATGAAATTCGCAGACTAGCGATTTACGCTAGAAATATATTATAAATTGGTATTCAATAAAATATTACCAATAGCTATTTTGCGAAATTCAGAAATATATTAAAATAAAAAATATGTCAATCATATTATCTGTAGTATGGTGTACCTACCATAAATAAATCCTTAACATAGTTTAAAAATGGTTGAACGGTTTGTAAATGTACACAAGAACATTATTGCTGACAACTGCTTTTAAAATGATTGTATTTATTTTATTTGATAGGAATATTACTAACCTCATACTGAATATGTTGTAAATTATTTCAATATTTGAAGAGTCACAATTTTTGTACAATTGCATACAGTCCAATTGAAAATATTATAATCTTATTGAAGATAAAAGTTATTTCTCTCCTGTTTTAAATGTTTCCATAAAATAAATTTAAATTTTCAAAAATAATAGTTTAATAGATCATTCTTTATTTATTTTTTGTTTCCTTGAAAGTGTCTTCAACAATTCACTCGAGACTAAATCAAAAGAAATATTCAATCTCCAATAATATCAATTTCGTGCTACTCAATATTCAATAAGTATCCATATTAAATTGTTAGACTGCTTATGTTTAAGTATAAATAATTGTATATTAATATAATATTATTATTTACATTTTAAACCATCGACGACTGATTCAAAATATAACTACACCGTTGTTACTCAAGTTTAAAAGTATTAGGTCTTTTTTTAATGATTGTTATTATTATTTTTTAGGGACTACGAAAGCAACAATATTCTTGACAACTTGTTATCTCGTATGGAGCAGTATGCCAACAATCTAGAAGCATTGGTCGAAGAAAGAACTGCAGACTATTTGGAAGAAAAAAGAAAATGCGAAGAACTACTATATCAATTACTCCCCAAGTAAGTACACATTAATTGCATTTTTCCGACACCCTTGCGAAAAGCATTTTCATTATTATAAATATAACAACAAATAAGTTATAGGTACCTATCTACTTACCTACATTATATGATTAAAAAAGTTGTAATAGATTTAAAAAACGGACACATGTAATAAGAATTTGCTTTTAAGACTGACTTCATTCGAGATCTGTCGTTAAATGTTTAATGAGCATGCTATGTTTTTAGTGTTCATAAAAAATAAGTAATTCTTACTGAACTTGGCGAGAATCGATCGATACCGAATTGCCACTGGAAGTTAACCACCAAACGAAATAGTTTTGACTTTTTATTACGATTATGTATTTTTAATTTTGATTTAATTTGTTATGTATTACGCTTGTACCGAAAACCAAGTTTTATTAGTTTCGAATTTTTGAAACCATGAATATCGCAGTAGGTCATAGGTATAGTGTCGTCCGTATATCCGATATTACAAAATATTATATTCGTTGTATACATTCTACTGTTCAAGTAACGCAATGGCTGACGTCACAATATGTTACAACTAGTTTCAGTTATTCTTTTATTTCCGTTTAGTAGGTACCGATTTCCCGTTTTTTAATTTTACTCGGATACAAAATCTCTACGTACCGATCGTTCATTACAATTACAACGATAATAATAATATTTTGATACTAATGTTTACCAGTTGTTCATCTGTAAGTATAAAAGTACAAAAATCTATATAGTTCATGGTTCATAACTATAAAGACGACTGTAGTAGGTACTTTGACGTTTATTTTGTCACTTTATAAGCTGATTGTTTAAAAATTTTAAAACTAAACCTTTATTATGAATATGTAAAAGAAAGGGAGCTTAACATAATGATGTTACGTGGCTAATAGCATTAAAAACTTATATTTTATAGAATTTTAAAAAGTTTTCTCAGTTTATAAAGATATTATTAAAAATGTTATTATACTTATTTCATTAAAATGTCTAAATAGTTTTAAAAAAGTGTTTAAATATCTACCTAAAATGGTTTATGGTATCCATTTAACAATATATTATACATAAAAATACATAACTTTATATTAAAACTCCAATTTGTTAAATGAAAATTATACTTTTAATTTATGCAAAAATTGTATTTTATTAAACTAATGGTTCGGATAAATTATTATTATACAAAAGCAGCAAACTATTACATAATTTGCATCGTACCTATTAAATGTAGGATTTTCATTCAAGATTTATAAAACTGTAACAATTTCGCTTTCGAAATATTGAGATATCCAACAAAACGGATATCAATCACCGCAGATATATATCTGCACAAGGAGAGTAATTTAATAATTAATAACTTACTATAAATAACATGAAATAAGTTTTGTCTTCAAGCTGCTATTACAATACCTATACCTGCACTGTCGCAACTTTTATAGGTAGCTAAAATGTTTAACAAATCATGGTTGTCCGATAAATCACGTATCATTGTAACCTATGTTCGAAGTAGTAATTAGTAGGTGAAGGCAATTCGAGTCGGATTAATAATTAATCATAACCTATGGTGGTTAATAACTTAAATAATTATGTCTGTTCATCGATAACCGTGATTCATAATAAACTTACTCGATGCGGCGTATAAGAGAACGGAGGACATTTTTTAGCTCCACAGAGTAATACAAATTTCTCGAAATAATTTAAAAACTAAATAATGGAGTGTCAGCTTGGACGTTCGGTGCTGTGATGGTCACTGGATAAAAGTCCACTCTTAAAACCAGACGATGAAAAACCTCATAATACCTAAGTTCGTAACAGGTTCATTTATCATTTGTAAGCGCTTTAAAACGTTCAACAATTATTTATTATAGCGGCAATATTATTACCGCATCGATCGAGTTTTTTCTCTCCCGTCAACAGAACGATCTGATGTTGTGACGGGTTTTATTATTATTATTTCTCGTGATGATAGTTCAGAATAAACGCAGTGTAATAATAATTTTTAATAATAATTAACGTAAAAGAAAATGTCATACCTTTCTGAAAGACAACAAACAATTTACACGTTTGTATGCAGCATTATATTTTTTTTTTTATAAAACTATTCAATCCGCACAATTTCTCGAGTGAAATTTACTAAATGTATTTAATTTAGGCAAAAGCAGAATACTCTCATTATAACATTATTGTTCACTTTGTAGTATTCGCGTATTTCAAATTTTAATATATTTCACCAAATTAACTCGCGAAAATAATTTATGATAGTATATTAAATACCTCATTAAGTTTATTTTTTATTTTCAAGACGACAAAAAACATGCAATTTATCTTAGATAATTTTGTGCTGAACTTGGCGTCGGAAATACTGTAATTAAATCCAAATTTCGTTGCGAGTATCAGTCGAGAAAAAAATCAAATCTAATTACTTGGCAAATCATTATGAAAACAAATTAAATATATTGTTATAAAACACAATTGCGGTTACATTTTCTCCCGTTAAGCTCAGCCAATCATGCAGTGCTAAGTACTCCAAAATTCAACCTATATACATGCTAACTATACTTTTACATCAATTTAGTTCAATAATTTAACATTAATAAAACCACATTTTACCCATGATATAATATTAATGTCTAAACGTTTATTAATGAATCGATCGGATACGTAAAGTTAATACATTTTTAAGTCCCAAACAAAATCACCACAGTCATAAACGTTTTTTTGAATTTTTTTTATAATTGGAAAATGAAAACAAGGAAAACTCGTTTTACTAATGGGTTGATTAACTATAAAAAGTTCAATATCGTATTTTTATGGTCATATAATCTGACTATCTGGTAGACAGCATTGATAGTTATGTCATTTTTATCTCAAATGTTATTATTCTTTTAACCACGATATCGACTTAATGACGTGCGAACTTTTGAACCGAATGCGGACAGAACGTACCCATTACTCATTAGTGACTACAACTGACGTCGGTTTAACCATCGTCCTTAACATTAAGTTTCCTGCAATTATCGAATACATAAAGTACAAATCGAATGGATAAACGAGAGCAATGTATAATATACGTACTGTTGGAAACTTTAGAATGACCAATAACAAATAAAAACCTTGAAAAAGCAAAACATTTATATCAATATAACAGAAAACAGAGAGTTGCAATATTCACAAGATAGTAAAACACATCCTAACTCAATACAGAAAAATACACAAGCGACATTGACGTCATAAAAAATGTGTACTCAACTCATCTGTGTCCCCTAGACCAGCAAAGCAATATAAACATATCCAATTATTATTATTATTTTTTTTTTTTTAAGACCTAATTCGTATAACTATAAACGAAAATAATACAAAAATGTTTGAGAAAAAAAAAACACAATGTGTAAAATATACAGAACAGGCACTGTGAGCCGCGATGTTTAATGATCAATAAAAAATAAGTGCCTAAGTGATAAGAGTTCAGTAGACATGTCGCGGTCGCTCGTCGCACTAATATTATGATCATCGCCATTGCTAGTAAACATAAAAGCATAGCAATAGCGTGAAATAATATTAATATTAGTGTTATTAATATTAATGGCCCAAGTTTAATTTCCCTGCATTACCATCTATATATATATATATAGAGTGAACATTAGGGTTTCAGCCTTCGGTTCGCGTAACATTTTCCCGGTCAGAGTGTATTCCTTTAAGACGTTTCGCACTGCGATCGTCCAATTGTAATATAGAACGTTTCAATTGCGGGCCAACGAACAGCCATCAATCACGTTACATTATCATTCCCAAGACGCGTCTTCTGTGTTGTCAATTAATATTGCGATGCTTCTTCTATACGCGATGCTAAACGCATAAACACCTCGTCGATTGAACCCGTCGTCGGCTGTCAAATATAAATAAATATTTAATAATGCGTACGTAAAAAAAAAAAAAAAAAAAAAAAAACTTTGACATAAGACCATCCGGCAATCAGTCCGACGTTCGACCGGACTTTGGCGGGGTACAAAAGTAACACGATATCATATTATATGTAGCCCATCGTTGCGCACCTGTACGGCATCCGCACGTCGCCGTCGTGTCGAGATAATCTCTCGCGCGTCGTTAACCTCCGAAAATAATGTGATAATATACGATTTTCTGTGTTCTATACAACACGGAAACGTCGGGGGCGGAGGGCGCGTAAACTGTTTTTAAACGAAACTCTTCTACGATTACGTATCGAAATGATTGATGACGTACCTACGTCGATTCGCAGGAATTGCCGGTTAAGCTCGATCGGTCCGAAACACGAGCCCGCCTACCGAAGATTTGTTGACGAGTTAATTTTGCGCGCACACAACAGAAAACAAAACAAAAAAAAAAAATATGACAAATTCCGTATCCGCTGCCGCGGTATTATTTCCACCGCCACACCCGAAGCCTTTTGACGTCCGGGAAAATGATTATAAACGAGACGGGAGTTTTAATCGCTACAGCGGGGAGCTGCGCAATATTCGCGGGACAAAGAACGCTACGCGACTTGGCGACAGTCAACTATGTCAGGTATACATATTTTGTATAGGCATTATTGTCAAAAAGACAATCGTTTGCTGTGTATCGAAAAACGCTAAGACAATGGATTACCGTGTCAAATCGAAATCGCAATAAGTACTTCTATGGTTTGATGCAAGGCTGCAACGTCTGTGTAGAAAATATTTTCCCGAAACGGAAAATATTATAATGATGAAAAGTGTGGACTTGAAACTCTATTGTTCGACCAGATGTATTTTTTCTGTTAAAAAATAAGAATTACAAACATTTTTATTTTTTACAGTGTACCATAACATTTGACTCGCGGAGTACTTTCGCGGCTTATTAAAAAGTGATATCTAGTAAATACATATCTCTTATTTTAAAATTGATTTGCTAAAAAATGTGAAGTGCAATAATTCTACATTATATCTTACGAATATTACAATACTCGTATCTGTATATGGATCGTTCACACAAACTGTTGGTTCTTGTTGTATTATGAGTGTTTTCATTGTTTTTATTTTTGTTAAACTGGTAGTAAAAATATTTTAAAATTAAGATTATGAAAATTTCTCGATGAAAATAATCAGACATTTCAATTCTCATGGATCCAAAAATGAAATAAATAAATTCACTATTGAATGGACCCCGAACATGTTGAAAAGTAAAAGCTTTTTGATTTCTCCCTGGTCCCGAATAGTTCGTTCAAAGAATTCGAATTAAAGTTATTTATTTAAATTGATCGACCTGATAATACAATGCTCGAGTTCACACATATATATATGGATATATATTCTGTTAAACGGCGTTTTGTTGAAGATGTCTATTGATTTGGAATATTATGCCAAAATGAAAAAATAATGAGTGCAGATAATTGTTTTAACAGTACGACGATAAATAATTAAGCCCGGCTTCACTTTGCCGGTCTATGATTACTATTATTATTGTTTAGTTTTTCCCGTGCTTCAAATAATATTATACTGCGATTGTTTGTGAAAAATTAACATGTTAAGCCACTATAGATGTAGAAAAGAACGGAGTTTAAGCACTACGCAAATATGAACGGCGCTAAAATATTTGTTCGTCAATTAAACACAAAAATGCCGAGACATTATTGATAAATAATTCACCACACATTTTGAGTTCGGCGAAACATTAAAAATAAAAAGCGTAAAATAAGTCAATATACTTCCGACAATACAACACAAACACTGAGGGTTGACATGTACACAACTGCGCACTGGATTTATAGAGCCGAAGGACATGCGAATAACGTTTCTTAAATTCGAGTTGCCGATTCTGCTTGTACCAATTTTCTTTTTCGTACCTATACGTTCTGCACAGCAACTTTTGTTAAAATTGATATTTACTGTTCAAACTTAAACAAACCGCCCCGAAAGTTACAACAGTATCACGTTATTCCGAAAGTTTTTGTTACGGATACCGTGGTAGGTACCTATACATTTATCCATTACGTAAATCCAATATACAATATAATAATATTGTAAACCAAATTATAATTTAATATTGCGATATCGTAATAATAAGACTCTCTTGCTTGTTCATTATGTAACTTATTATTATTACCAAACAGCGAGCGTTTCTGAGATAACACTTTTTTTTCTTCATTTTTCAAACATTGTTATTTTTTTACCTGATAGTTTTACTGCAGATAATATAATAATAACTAAGAAACTAGCTGATACCTTGCACTTTGTTCCTCGTTGAAAATGCCTACTCTATATGAGACTCGATGGTGATAATTCTAGCAGAATATTATGCCTAAATGCTGTGGATTGCGGACCTCGCTTGATTGAGTACTTTGTGTAAATAATATGTCTTATTATTTTTATTTTAATTGCGGATACGCCGATGAGCGGCTATAAGTGCAACTCAGCCACCTCGGTAGGCAATGTGCGAAAATGCAATTATACGCCTGCTTATACCTGATCTATACCCGATGAACCACTGCGGGCAACCAATAAACAAAAAAAAAAAACACCAATTTCTAATAAATATATTTATATTTCTTCTATAACTAATAGCAACACTATATGAACCAATATTTCCTTCGTAAATCTTAAGATCCCTGTTTGAGCTACTCCCCGGGTCGGACCTATCGGGTCCCAATTGCGAATCTAAACCATCCAGGGCGTCACCCAAACGCAAACAAAAAAATGCATTCAAATCGGTCCAGCCGTTTAGGAGGAGTTCAGTGACATGCACACGTACAGTATAATTATATGCATAAAGATTTAGTAGGCATTACATTAATATTGCATTTCAGGTGCCCAGCGGGTAACCCAAATTACACAGAAGCTATTCGGGTTTCACGGCGGCCCTTAATCGTTATTCACAATTTAATTTTATGATCACTCGAAATTTGTGAAAAACGACATAAATAATGTACAGTAGACATTAAACCGACCTTCGCTCCGAATCGTTTTTTTTTCAGAGTGCGATGACGATTTGTCATTCCTCTCAGATGTACCGCAGAAACGTTAAATGCAATACGCACTTCAGGCTGCTCGCGCCGAGTTGTGCGCGAATCGAAAACAGTACCCGAACACCATCCTGCAGTCTGTAGAACTCATATTATTTCCTTGTTTGTTTTATGTTTTAATCGAACCCGTTTTTGAGATCCGACATAGGAAATAATAAAATGTGCCCCCGTGTCTATGGACGATGATATACACAGACAGCAGAGGCGCGCGTCGCCCATATAGGTAGGTATAGTTAATGCAATGACGTAGGCACCGTGACGTATTGTTTTATTTGCGACTTGTATCTTACTTTCCAATTGAAACGTCTAGTACCATTATAGTGTACAACTGCTACACTCCTGCGCGATACAACTTTACGATGACACAAAACATTTTAGCAATAACGCACGTGTAAAAATTATACTTTTAACAAAAACTCCGATGAGCCACAGCGATGAAAAACCTTGACCCAAACAGTGTAAAATTGAATCCATTATTTTTGTTTTTATGGACCAACGGGATACTTGAAAAATTTTTCGCGGGATAATAAATCAAATTCTGATTTCCTCTAAAAAACAGTAAATATACTATGCATGCCTCTGTACAAGTTATTGATCGCAATAATTTCGCCTATTATTATTTTAGTTTAATATAGAAAATTGTATTTTTCACTCCGCATTTTATCTAGTCTGTAATATATTCAAATGATTACTTGAATGGATTTGAAAAGGGGTACTATTATAAAATTGCAGACAGTATTTCAAACTAATTCAAGCTTTGATGATTTGTCTTCATCTACCTTCATCACGATGAAGTGCCATCCTCATGACCTTATCACTTATCACATTTGTCATTAAATACTATCAACGATTCATCAGGATTAAATTAATTACGATTGACATCGTAATCTACATTTACCAAAAAAACGATGAATCATTTATATTCAGCATAAAAGTATATTTTTTTTTCAATTAAAAAATATTTATGAATCTTAATTACAACAAATCTTTTCATAACGGTTACGGATTATTAACAAGCACATTATAATTTTGCTCACATAACATACGTTTTTATGATTTTATATTTCAAATAATATTATGATTTCTAGGTCAAAATTCCCAAATATAGTCACTAATAGACATTGTATGCTTAATGAACTGCAAACCATATACTACTATAATAGCAATTGAAATGGAAACTTATATAACTTTCGTGAACATATATATTTCATTTATTCATCAAAATTGTCTGTTAAATATTATTATCATTCAAATAGCAATTGTAATTTTAAGTTTATAAATATTTAAATACACTCATAACAAGGTACACTTGATAAAAGGTAACGTTCCGTAAGAAATAATATCAAGATATCGTGGATGCATGGAGGTGCTATTATCAGTGAAATAATTCATACACGACGTAGTAACCCTAAAATATGTGTATACTAACAATTAGCACCCCTCTCCAATAAGATTTTTTATTTCATAATTTATGTAATGTCTTCTCTGCTCTCACACAGCCGACTATCAATTTTACTTTATTTTTTAATCATACTCTGGCGCCGTTCCTTATTCGTAAGTTTTATAAATAATAGTAAAACAATAACTATTTTCATTGTTATTGATTTTAAAGAACTTATATAATATTATTATGATATTACAATCGTAAATATATATTTTCATTATATAATGTAGTTATTATAAGGCATAATAAGTCAAGTCAAATTAATTTCAAATAAGATACTTGTGCCTGTTGTAAAATATATATGCTCATGACCTGAAAGTTGAAGCTTTTACTAATATAGTTCTATTGAATAATTAAAAATTAAACAAGAACTATTTGCATTTGGTTGTTAAAATATATATTACGTAGGTATCAATATTAATTTATGAAACACGACTATGAACAAAAATTAAAGCAGTAAAATTTGAAAAATGTATTCCTAGAATAATTATTTTAGAATAGAACTTGAGTGAGTCGTATTGGATGGAAAAAATGTTGTACTCAAGACAATTTACAAATCTATCTTAAGAATTAAGATTGATCTACAAGTATTTTACATCAAAAAGTGATCGGTTTAAGAGATTTTGTTGAAAAACGATTTCAAATGAATTATACTAATAACTATTAATAGTGTTTTTTTTTTACATTTTTGATTTATACATTGAAAAATTTGTTTATGGATTTTTTTTTTACTTTTTAGGTCCGTTGCTAGTCAGCTGATTTTGGGACAATCTGTGGTAGCTGAAACTTATGACAACGTGACAATTTACTTCAGTGACATCGTGGGTTTCACATCTCTGAGTGCCGAGAGCACACCACTTCAAGTGGTAGATCTACTCAACGATCTTTACACGTGTTTCGATTCAATAATAGAGAATTTCGACGTGTACAAGGCAAGCACGAAAAATATAAATTTAGTACGAAAACATCATCAACATCATATTTTGAGCGGTTTTTTTTTCAAATTCAGGTAGAGACCATCGGTGACGCTTACATGGTTGTGTCCGGACTTCCTGTTCGCAATGGCAACTTACACGCCCGCGAAATAGCCCGAATGTCACTCGCTCTGCGATCAGCCGTTCACAGTTTCACCATCAAACACAGACCAGACGATCAACTCAAGTTGCGTATCGGCATGCACACCGGTGAGTTATAATATTATTATTATGCGACTTAATACTTCTTTTCGCATCGATATCTACAAGTCCTGTACATGTACACGCTGATGCGTCGTAAACCACTGGACATCGTTTGCGATGATTATATTTTTTAATTAATTTGTACGAAAATAAAAGAACACAGTGACTTCAAACTTCCCGGAACGTTTTTCTGGCACACCGGGTCAGCACTCTTGAGCAAACTCCCTCGAGTTTAGGATCACGATTATGTTATGTCACTGAACTGCAATATATTACAAACTATAATATTAAACTCGTTTTGCTAAAATTTCAGATCGAGACATAATATTATCTTAAAATATATATGAATTATTATTGTATTAAGCCATTTTCCAAGCAAACTCCACAGGACGTAGCATTATAATATAATATGTAAGACTCAACGTTTTAACATTAAAAACGATAAGGAACAGAGACTATTCCATGTAAATTGTATATACATTATATATAGTTTCAACATTGTAGTCGTAACATATATATATATATTATATGCTTAGAGCGAACAGTATGTATACTACTAGCTGTATATGACTATATGAGTATGACTTATAATATGTAACTTTAAAAACAAAATGATCATCAAATAAATAATAAGTGATAAAAAGTTTTTCCAGCACGAAATACACTGTCTTAATGATATCTGAACTTACTATAAGCAATATAGACGAGATGTTATTACACCATTCCCAAAAATAAATACATTTTGAAGAATATGACTCCAAAGTTAATCGATAGTTATTGATATTTTCTGCACACGAGTACACAACTAAAATCAAACTACCTTTTTAATATATTTTAGACACATCAAACCAGTACATACAATTTAAATAATTAAAATACAATTTAAGTCTATGAAATAAATCATTGTTATCATTATAGATGTGGCATCGTTTATAAATATAAACATTATAAGAATCGTTAAAATAATAAAGTGTGTGTTCGTATTTTACGCAAGTTCCGCGGGGAGTTTATCGAGTTCTTGAGTAATCCATGCTATTTTTGTCTAAAAAAGTCCGCATATGAAAAAGAATACTGTATAACACTGTAACTATATGTAGGTGAGTATCTGATTGTGTTTACATTGTATTGTGTGCATTTCAGCTGTCGTTAAACTGACAATTGCATACATAAAATGCAAATTCAATAAATAACCAATCATTATTATAATATTGTAATATGTATTACAATAATTTAACTATATGCTGATGGGTCGCAGCTAGAATACCTACTAATTAAGCAAATATGAATAATTTTGAATACTTAATACCTGTTTAATGATAAATTGTAACTTATAACTTAATGAAAACAACAAGTAAAGTATTCAATAGTATACTTTTAGTTTCAATTAATAAGAAATATAATTCTTCCGGTAGTAATAATTATTGTTAAAGAGATAAATATATATTTGCATCAATACAAATTTCAATGATAAACGGTTAGGACAATGTAGTACGCATTCAATAATTATTGCATCGACAAACTTGTTCGACTTAAAAATGGTCTTCAACATTGCGAGTGAATCAAATGTATAATTTATAAATATATTATTTGAAATTGTAATTATTAATTCAAAATAGCTGCTATGATACTCAAACGATGATAAAAACTAAAAATGTTATAGTGCGTAACAATAATGTTAATTAGTTTGATAACTGTAGTGGAACACTATTTGATATAATCGGAAGCTAATATAGAAAATTTAGGCATGTAGCTAAAATATTATTACCATTAGGTGTGTATGACAGAGTTTATTGATATTATGAGGATATCAATATTACCAACCGCAAACTGCGCGAACAATATTTGAACGGTACGCTGTTCAAAATCTCTAATTTTCAGAAAACCAACATGAAACGTCTTAGTTTCTGCATTGACTGCGTCAATATTTTTTTTCATAAACAATATTATTTAAGATGAAATTTGGAGAATTCCCATGAATAATTTTGCACTGAAAAAATGGGTAGAGCATTTATTTTCTCTGCAAAGATTATGCAAAATTGCTAAAATTCACTTATTAAATATTACATAATATTACTTTTACCCGGGCCACAACCTCAAATATTATATTATTTCACATTCGTGTCGGCCATTCTGTGCCTGTTGACACGTACATGTATCGATTGCTTTTAGTTTGATATCCGCGCTACACACAGCTGATTGGGTACAACGGTATAATGTGCATTTTGGCCCGACGAAAACCATCAGCCGAGGCCCAAGACATAATATTATACAGCCTTTTCTCGACACTGGGATCGCGGCAAGAGATAAAATACGAATAACTAAAACAATGTATTCACGTCCGACCGTCGTTAATTTCTTAGTATTTGCAAGTGCACTCCGGAGGCGAGAAAAGCACTCAGCCCCGTCGAAGTCCGTCTTCGTTTAGCAATCATTGCCCGAGTCGGAACAACGGATTTTAATCGTTTAGCGAATAATGTCGCCGACGAAACCCGCCGTGACGAACAAAAACAAACAATATTATGCAATTAAAGTACACGGATTTAAATAATAATCTTTCGCGTGCAGTCGAAACCCCGTTTGTAATTGATAATAATTCGTTTTAAGCGCTGCGCGTTTTTTCAGTGGCAAAAATTACCAAAGTTTGAGTAAATTAATTATTACTCCTCGTTGTTGTTTTTTTTTTTTTTTTATGAGGGGAAAACCCCCAAAAGTCCTGTTTGCACGGTAATAATTTAATAATATGTTCACCTTTGTGTTCCACACAATATGACATTCAATAACCAATATCATCGTATTATATAACGTTTATCGATTGTGTCGTAGTAACATTATTATAATAATGGATGTCGAAACTTTTGTTGTACCTACACAAAACTGCACACGTGTTAATTACGCCAGTGGTCGGTGCAAAGGAAATGTTCTCGTGTACAATCGTACCTATATAAAACGCCATGGAATTAAAAGGCATAATAATAATAATAATGGTAATTATAATAATGGTAATAGGTTTAAAAGGTAAATATTTAAAAGCCTAAAGTAAACTGCGGTTGTTTGGCTGCCCCTCGGAGATTTGCACGCGCCAAATCGTATCGGCCGAGTTTATATCACTATATCGAAACCTCGTTAATTAGCATCGCGTGTGTGTGTGTGTGTGTGTGTGTGTGTGTGTGTGTGTGTGTGGGTGTGGGTGTTTAAAGTGGCATTCGATAATTATTGCCGTTCAAAATGTACAGTAACCCGCTAATTCTTTGGCAGTGCACCACGATAATCATTTGCACCATACCTATATCAGAAATCGTTCAAAATTGATACGCAACACTGCAACATAATAAAATACATTAAAAAAATTAAGATACAAAATGTTTGTCCATCCGAAGACAATGCAAAGTGATTTTTTCTAACACCAGATACTAATGCTACTGCCTCTGACACAATAATATAAATAATTTAATATGATTTTAATTTTTAGAATTAATTATATACTCGTACTAACTGTTTTTCAACGACAATCATTGAGTGGTTTTAATTTCACATTCTGAAGAAAAATACTTTTTAAGCGTTTTTTTTTTTTTTTGTTCAAGTAAGACTAATCACATTGAATTGATAAAAGTTAATTATTTACAAAGTGTAAAAGTTTAAATTATAAGATTATACAAAAATACATTGTAATGATTATTGGTACAATAGTATAACCAATATCCAAATACATCACACCATGTTTGAATAATAATGATTTATCTACTTAAGTTTAAAACAAAATAAAAGAAATATTGTAAACCGCCTACACGAAAATATTATGAAAGAAAATCAGTTTTTAAAAAAGTTCGAAATAATGAACACAACTTAACATTTTGTTAACGTCCGTTGTTATTATTATGTTTTGAGTTTTTTTTTTTTGTTTACCGCCAATGAATAATAAATTATTGTCTCGCGTATTAAGAGCAATATATTATTACCCTGCATTGCTCTTCGGCTCACCATTTTACCCTCTTCGGCGTGGCAAGTCTGGTCGGGCGATAAAAGCCGTATCGTACGACACAGAAATCGTGAAATCCCTCGGCGTAATAATATCCTTGGGCCGTTCCGGAATTGGCCTTTGCCTGTATACTGTTTTATACATAACATGCAGCAAGAGTTCTGTTTGCGGACGAGCTGCCGGCACGCAGAAAAAATAAAACCACGACAAAGGGAGACAAATGTTTATATTTTCCTGAGGACACAAAAACCGATTCCCTTTTTTTCAGTACCATCTATCGATGCTCGGGTGTGAATAATACTACCCGTTTCGGTGATATATATACACCGCAGGCCATATATACCTATTCGTTTTCGCATTCAATTCTCGTGGTCTGAAAAAAAAAGAAAGGTTTTAACACTGCAGTTTCAAAGCACTACAAATATCGTATGAGACCGCAGTACGCAATTTCGTATAGGAAAATCTAATCGTTATTACTATACTGCTTGCACGAAGGGAACCACTTATTTATTGTGTGGGTATATTGGAGTCGCCGTTATCCGAATCAGGGGAGTATTAAGAAACAAAACATCTCTAAAAATCTGATGCAAATTAAAATCATTCGTTTGGTGGGTGGGGGGGGGGGAAATGTATATGTTATGTAATACTATAGATTCATTCCAGTGCGTATATATTACTATATTATATTATTACGAATGATGCGCGATACGTCTGCCGCAGTGATATTGGATCGCCCGCTTCGACGTCCTTCAAAGGCTGCCTTCGAAAAGAATTGCCCGAGCAGCTCTTCAGACACTAATAAAAAAAAAACACACAAAAAACACAACAACAAAAATAAATTAAAATAATCGCGCCGACGGAGCCGAAAATGAAATTGACAGCCAAAGCGTTTTTCATTTGTCAGCGACTGCGCTGCGGGGACTGGCAATAACGGTAATCGTTCCTACGCAGAGCTTTCCGCTGACTCCCCCCCCGTTTCCCAATACGCACACATAATAACGTATATATATATATGTATATATGTATACGTATAATAATATATACACACTATATTATTATATTATATACGGACGCGTTAAATTCTTTATTGCCGACGCGTCTGCACGTGCCGCCAGCGATCGCGTATAATACTAATCCCAGCTTGTTCGACATTCACACAAATCTATTCGACAAATATCGCTGCAGGTATCATATTATTGTTATTATTATTATTATTATTATTATCATTATTATTATTATGTGTATATATGAATGTATGATAACAATAATATTATATATTATATTCGTGTGCTGCACTGCGCAGCAGTCTACTCTCGCGAGGGCGACGTCGTCATACCTCCGTTTACGCACACTGTGCAGACATTGTGTACGTCATGACTTTTTTACCTGAACAATTTTTTTCACCCGCACGTCTTGCAGTTTTGTTGACAAATAAATCGTCAGCGTCTAGCTTGAAGAGCCAGCGATGCAAGACGGCAACGATAATAATAATATCGATTATTTGATTAATAAAAAATACTATTATTATTATTAGTATTACCTATATTATACTAATCGCTTTTTAAACATTTTTTATCTACAAGCCGGGTGATCATGTGGGACAAAATAGATTTTGGTGCAAGCGTAATAATATATTACCGGAAAATAAGACCGTGCGCCGGTATCATAATACTATTTATTAAAAAATAATTGCCCAAGTCACTGTTTTCAGTGAAGGTGGGTTGGGAGAAGAAGTATAAGAGGACTTAGCTCTTCTGAAATAATCCCAAAGACTTCCCAAAAAATAGACAATGCTCTCCAAGTATAGAAAAAATAATATTTAAATAATACAATGAGTACCTATGTATACATATAGGAACTACGGTTATAGCGTGTAGTCATTATTTTTAAATAATTTATAAATTGGATCCAATTTTAATCAATGTTTGCAAACAGCTGTTATATCCTTGTGCAAGACTCATTCCAAAAATAATTTTTTTTTTGATTTATTTTAAAATATTTGCTGGAAGAGTAAAGTATATTTTTTGCTGTTGTTGTAGAAATATTATGTTTGGTTATTAGTTATTACTTATACTCATATGATAGAAATAACAAACATTTTTTAAAACATCGATGGGGAGAGTGGGTCATGTGAATTTGTGTAAGTGGATGTATTGGTGAAAAAAATACTTCTAAAATTACTCCAAACCTTGCGTCTATTTTAATATTTCGTTAGTTGTACGAAACCCATCTAGAGTGTACTCTTTCGGATATTAAGTATATCTACCTCCGCGAACGTTCGATAACAATTTTGATTTGTTTACTTGACGACTTAAGCACAGGCGTCAAATGTATATATTTTTTTTCTTTGTAAATAACTTAAAACAGCTGCTTAATTTATAATATACAACGTGTAATCTGTGTACAATATGACGCGGATATTTAATTTTTGACTATCAACCGCGACTCTCATATAATCTGCAATAAAAGCAAAAACGATCATTTAACGTCGTTCACTTTTGGTTGCAATATACCGGTATTATAGGTAGCTATATGGTGTTTTCAAAGTATTTGTAAGGTTATTTTTCCACAGACGCGCGCCTGCGCAGTACGAACTCATTAATTCCGAATCGTTTTCGGAAATCATGTGTGTATAATAATATAATAATATAATCATTATTGTTTACGTTTACACGTGTCCCGACAAACGTGTTTGTTTTTCGGACGCGGTGATCGATTTCGTGTCGAAAAACTATTACCAAACAACATATATTTATCAATATACACCAGGCGGACAGGGGAAGTATAATGGCGGTTTCCTGTTCATTTGTTGCGTGTACCTATATAATATACATACGTACACATATGTATAATGTATGACCGTATGTATATGTGTGTGTGTGTGTGTGTGTGTGTGTGTGTGTAGTTTACACCCTCTGAGGAATATTTTAATACAAATGGAATGTTTCGGCAAACAACGCCGCGTATGGTGAATGCATTATATTTTAATCCGAATAGTATTTTTGAAAAGGCTGATAAATAACGAAGCGCTTGTATATTATATTGCACTACAATGCAGGCGCTGCAGAGAGAATAGCTCGGGTTTTTGCATTACCAGAATGATAATAATATGAATCTCCCGTCTTTGTTTATCTTGAATCCTCTGCGTCGGAGATGGCACACGTGTCCGTCCGAACTATGTCAATTGTAAAACTTTTGCTTCGGACACCAAATAGTTCAAAGTTTGGACGGCTCCGAAAAGGTCTCCGGCCAAATAAGGTCTATCGCCACTCGCCCGCAACTCAATAACAATACAAACACGACCCGGCTAATTATTATTGCGCACCTATGTCGTAATCGTTGGGTGTATTTAAAATTTTAAAATTTCTTTAAATTCAATGCTGGCGATGACCGTTAGACCAATGCAGTGTCTTGGCCATTTTGTTTTTTTGCCATTTTGTAGTGAATATTTCAGTATCCACCTGCAAAGTTTGGTCTCAATACGGTTAAAAGTTAACACAATATCATTTCGGCTTCGTTCTATGAACTCAAAAAAATTCTTCAATAAATTACAACCTTCAGTTTGTATCGATGCGTACGTGTGGTGTAGATACTGAGATACGTATATTATGTTCAATATTTTTATTGTAGACGACAACAACAGTGTCACTGTTATTGGGTTAAAATCGTTTTCGTGATAAATTACAATACTGTCAATACTCGCAGCAATCGTGTGCGAGCAACGCGTGTTCGTTTCAATCGGGTGGAAAAATAATAAGCATTTCTAACTCGTCGATTTGTTTCAATGAAGCATCGATGTAAGCTTTCGAATGTTGGCCGATCAACGTTCACGATCGATCAAACGGAAATGTTTTCGACGGATAGATAGTAGAAACTATATAATATTGTGTATTTTGAATTTCAAAAACCATAAGACTATTAGATATGATGTTGTCGAACTCCTGTCGCGGGGGCGTATTGTTCATAACCAGATGCGCGTTGTGTTGTGTTTTCGTCCCAGTTACAAAATGAGATTCGAATTTATAATGATACATATTTTAGTCCACGAATGTGGTGCGCCTGTTGAAGGGATCTCTGATCAGTAATCTCGAGTAATCTGTCAATACTAGGTACTTAACAGTGTAAACATTGTTAATTCGTGAGAGTAAGTCACGGCTGATCAGCCTGATCTAGCTGGCACAGACGATGAAATTCAAATATCCAACTGGAGTTAGTAATTAATATATAGAGAAGTTTTAAAATTCGACCGCACAGTGTCATAATATTATACTTACACGCTTAGACGTCATACGTAAAGGCAAATATACAATAGGTATTATATATCGCTGGCGTTGACCGAGTTTCCGAGATGTAGTTTATCGGCCGGCCCGGCACAGTATAGAATATATATTATATATAGTGTGATCCCTTTGATAGCTTCCGTCGTAATATTATTCCAAGCAAACGCCCGTGCAGCTTTATGGTTTATTTTACGAGTTGTCGTGAGCACGATAAAATATCGACGAGTCCGGACGATCTCGCGTGAAATAATCATTCGATGGGTTTTTAAACATAAGCAAAAAAATATACGGTCATAACTATACTGCAGTATTTGTTGTTAAACAACCCGCTTATGTGAGCACAGCAGTTGTGAGTGCACGAAAATAACGAGTGATCGAGATTTCGAATAAAATTTTGCTATATAATATTATACCGCCTTATATATACCTAGGTATATTATGATGGTATATATATGAGGCGTTTTGCGAAGAATACGAATTTATTTCGAATACACACGCGCGGCTGGATTTTTATTAAAATTTAATTGAATGTTTCAAACTGGGAGTTTTTACGACGGCGTTGTTTTTATAACTTGTCTGATATTTTAATATAGTAGTCGGTGGTTCATAAAAATGATAGTCGTAAATAAACAATCAAATTAAGACGCCGAAAAAGAATCGCTCTGACGCTCTGTTTTTAATCGTCTGGATTTAAACTATTTGAATGGCGTACATTTTAACACGTTTTTATTTATTAAAAAAATAATATCTCATATTTTAGACATTCGGTGAGCTGCAATAGTTCTTGTTGATTGTCGTATTATGTTTTAATTCGATCTCCTTGGCCTTCTAAAAAATATTTAGAGTGAAATGCAAATTTTACAATCACGTTATTTTTCTGAAAATATGACCGATAAAAATTTTAGATTCACAGTGAACCACGTGGTACAGAAAATAATATATTTTAATATAGTTGCGACGTTTGAACGTATACACTTTTAATACATATTTATTATTTTGCACACCGATTGGATAATATACATTCAGTTTTTAACAATTAATTGTAATTTAAATTGTAATAGAACAATACCTATACTATGGTTTTGAAAAACATGTGCTTTTATCTTTCCATAGGACCTTGTGTAACCGGAGTGGTTGGACTTAAAATGCCAAGATACTGTTTATTTGGAGACACGGTCAACACAGCCTCGAGAATGGAATCCAACGGACAAGGTATGTCTTATGTTATATATTCTTCTGCCCGTCGACGTCAATGAAAACATCATTGACCGTTGCTTTAACCCAGAAAGGAACAATATCCGTTTAATAAACGGATATACGCGTACCTATCGTCGTTTCACCGCATCAACCGTTTCCGTGAAAATGATCTAAAACTATATATAACGCATGAGGTACCTACTCGAACACATTATAGTATGGGAATTATTACATAGGTACTTATTTGTATTATTATTATTATTATTATTATTATTGTATATCCGTGCACATTTGAATCGGATCGCTCCCTAGACCGGTCACTGGGTCACTGCGGTGTACAAACTAATAACTATACGATAATATAAGTACACGAATTCCCTATTTGCACTGCGCAATTGAACCGTTCCGACACACATACGCGAGTATCAAGTATATATATATATATTGCCATACCCATACGTCATTATCCTGCAGTGCCGTCGTATATGGCGAAGCTGTTCGTTCCTCTGTCCTCGTCGGCATACAGGTAGAGGTATGTCATAAAATTGTAGATGCATTGTGCACGCATATATAACATCATTTGCGAGGGGCAAAACTAATTTGGATAATCGAATTCCGTCGTACGACATATTGTGAGCAACACCGACGTATTATGTTATACATAATAATATTATAATATAATATAAAATACGTATACCTATAGGTATAGGACATTATCACAGTGCAGCAGCTATTATCATTTTCACTGCGTACCTACCTACCTATATCGTATATTTTCCGATTGGGGTTGCATATATTGTATACGGGTATACTATATATTCAAACTAATTACTGCAAACCGAAATCAATTGTACGTACCCGCTATATGAGTAAAGGTATCTGCGGTACACATAATATGTGTATAGGTATTTAATAATACGCCAAACGGTTTTATTAGTTGATAAAAAGGTTCATCGTAGATGACTACACAATATTATGGTGTAATGCGATGCAGAAATTCGATTCACAATACCTATCGTTACGAACATCCATGACAACTCATCTTTTTAGACGCAATGCACCTATGGATGATGGGTATACGTATCTAATTTGTATTTTATTTTGAAATGCGCTTTAGTCCGCACCTGTCAGAAATCATCCCGGCTTCAAATAATTTATGATCTCAAAAATTAACTTCGGTTCATATTTTTCAATACACCGACGTCATTATTCATTCAATCTGCGCGTGTGTCTATCCGTCGAACAGCATTTTCCATATAATCTGTCAATTTGGCGCACGTCAGCAAATCCCACCGAACTCGTTCGTCAGTGCACGTCATATTATGCCAACCGATCCGTCTGAAATATGGTTGGTGTGCATATTTACCTACATCGGTGCTTGGTAACATAATCATCGGGTCCATGATTAATCCTCAAATCCAAAAGGTTATCCGAATGAGACATTGACGACGGTGTGTCTAGAAAACTCCCTGTAACCCAAAATTATCACCTATATCATAACGCATCGCGACCATTAATACAAATACAGGGTGCGGCACAATGGGCTCCCACATTTCTGAGGTGAATTTAAAAAAAACTATACAGGATATATAGAGAAAAACATTTTATTTTTAAAAACTATATTTCATAAGGTTTTTTGTGAAATAGCTATTGTAGGTATATTGTAACGAGAAAAGTTGAATTACTTAACTGCACTGGCTCGGTTGAATCCATCGTTGACTAAACCTTTGATCGTTGAAGCGTGTTATCACGACGACAATTATAGAATATTATGTAATATACATAATATATTGTAATTCACGAGTCTTAATTCAATAGAGCAGATATTGAAGATTTCCACGCTTTTTATGTATAGGTACATGAATTTCGGGGCAAAGTTAACAATCCTGTGTGGTAACCACCCACTGGTATACATAGTTACACATCCTGTCTTGCACAAGCCCTCGCGATCCATGTGATCGCAGTTAATAAATTCAAATTTAAATTGTCTTGTTACAATCGTATTGCTCTCATCGCTATTGTTTACCATGCATAGGCTTTAATGAGTAGACCAACCTTGCAATACTGCGTGTAATCTCAAAATAATATGCTTCGCTGACGTCGCTTTGAGCAGTTGAACTCACCCCGTATTATATCTCAATACATAATATTATTACTCATTATGTAGGTACCGACGCGTTTATAGATATTTTATGCCTACGAATATCACGCATGAAATATTGGCCAGGTTAACACGGAAAAGTGAAAGTCCGTTATATCCGCAACGATAAACCAATGACAATATTACATATGGAAAAAATATTTATAGGTTTACATGTTACCACAAAGCTCAAGTGGTGTACCTATTGTTTATTGTTAAATTACATCTACAATAAGATTTGTGGATAGAACATCTAATATTTTAGTCGGTCACGATCAAAGTAGATACGGATGCACACGAAAAAATATGATTTTCTGAGCGCACGTCACTCTGGACAAAATAATTGAATGGGAGAAAACCTCAATTAATTGATTGTTCGGGGTAGAGCACACTGCACACATACATATATATATATAGTTTATAACACTTTTAACGTGTGTTTGTGTATTTTCTAGCGTTGAAAATCCACGTGAGCCCGCAAACAAAAGAAGTGCTCGACACGTTTGGCACGTTCGACTTGGAACTCAGAGGCGAAATCGAGATGAAGGTGAGGAAACGGATTTAGGTCCATTATTTTCTAATCCATTAGGCGTCATTTTTGTCCTCGTCTTGGGTTTTACTTATATATATATTATATGTTATACCTATATGTGCGTGTGTAATAATATCATCTGCACCCTACGCATATATACTATTACTTTGGCTGAAAAAAACGACGACAGGCGGAATCACTCTGTGACGTAGCAAGAGGTTGTATCTATGGGGGGAGGTGTAATCCTCCAATCAACACCCCCCTCCTCCCACACACACACACACACATACACACCCAACCGCAAATTGTTACAGTGATGAAATACCGCATCGGTTATAACTATTCCCCTGTGCTAATGTATAATAAATACACTTATCCCTCTGCCAATATCGTATTTAAATTTAATTAAAACATGGCTGGCACAGCAATGAAAACAGAAATGTCTACCAAAAGTATTGCTATAATATAAAGAAATAGAATGTTTTAATACTGCGTGCCACGGTATTATATATTTATATGTGTATAACAAGTACATTTTTGTCTTTTGATGTATTTAAAGAATTTACCTAAAACCTATACAACGGTCTTGACAACCACTCGGTCATTCAATACCAATATATTGTGTTGAGTATCGAATATAATAGTTTAAACAATATGGTGAATTTTTAACGATAAACATAATCTTCTCAAAAAGCATTAACGTTTTTTAAATTTGTTTTTAATATGTTTCATAATTTTTAAATCATATCCAAGTATGTACTTACCTATTTATGCAGTTGAGATGAGCTGAGTATAGTGGACTTGTACTAAACTGCACTCGTGATAACCTTCAATACTTCTTAACTGCACGTCCAAATTTCGTTTTTTTTTTATGCATTGAAATTCTCAACAAAATATTCTGCTTAAAATATGAAATCAAACGTGTCATTTAAAAAGTAAAAATGTTGTTTTGTAATGACTTAGTATTTTGTACAAAAAAATATTTCCCTAAACATTAATAAGTGAGTACTTTTCGAGAAAAGGAGGGTCTATACCTTACAAATAATCACCTTAGCACCTACCTAGTACAACATATTTACAGTTGCGTATAGCACAAGTTATAATAATATAATACATTGTAAATAAACATTACACAACTATTATATTTTTTTTCATAAAATCATCTCATTTTTTTATTACATATTCTGAATTCTGATTATCCATCAAATATAAGGTACCTACCTAATATTATTTATAACTGTCAGTTTTTCCTTCCATGGGTCAATAAATCCTAAAATACGCTAACCTTCTAACCCTACACTCACGGCTAGACACCATATACTAATGAAAACAATTTTTTTTTTCCTATTTCCACCTTGCACAGGGAAAAGGAAAAGTAACGACGTACTGGCTGTTGGGCGAGAAAACTCCAACCACCGAAATGGCACCTGTGCTGCCTGTGAAACCGATCGGGTCGTTTTCGAAAATGCACGCCGCCAACAGCGTCGGGTCATCGTCCACCAAGTCCGTGGCCAACAGCATAGCCAACCACAACAATATCAGCGCGTCCACGCCGCTCTTGCAAGGCGACAACGGCTAAAAATATTCGTCCGATTTAGTATTATTTTTTTCAAAATTTTTTTTTTTATATACATACATATAAATAATTATATTATTATTATTATAGTCAC